ATGAAGACGACGAGTTGACGATACGTCGATTACATGGCACCCTATATCGTATATTAAACAATAACATTATAAATACGTTGCAGCTAACAATTTTGAGTAGAAGTGTATACTTTCAAAATTTCTTTTTTGCAAAAAGGAGGGACTGAAATGACAAATGTATTTCGGTCAATTACGCGATTGAAATGATAACAATTGTAATACACAAATCGGATTATAATTTGCTACGAATTAACCGCATGAAATTCGCACAATTCTCATCGACGTGCATGTCTTCTCTCGCATGTCTCAGTCACTCGTTCACAGGCTAACTTATATTATGAGCATGTTGTATTGATAAAAGTAACACCGCATAAAGTGGTAAGTAACGAGTCGATTTCATGCGATTCTTCTGTTATCAAAATCTGGGAATGAAAGAAAACGATGTCATACAAGAAACAAAAACTGTCCCGTTCTATTAGGAAAATTATTAACACGGCTGTGGTTTTATCATTTCTGGATCAATCCATAAATTACGGTTAAAAATTGCTGAATGATTTGTTTAATGGTACTAACTACTTCAATCTGCTACCGACAAGTTGTCTCCAGTGACGTCATCCGATAATTTCGTTTTACGATTGTCATGTAAAAAGAGATTGTTTCGGTTCCTTTTTAACTATATATAGCACAGTAATTGAATGTGCGATTGATAATTTTACTGTGGATAAAATGTTTATTACGCAGTTGCGATAGAAATCGTAGTGCACAGGACTAAATTACTCGATTCAGCACTAACCGTCGCTGTCGATGTGCTAATTGCTGCGAATGATAGCTAAATATTAATTAGCAACATAAGATTGTTCTAGTGAAAACGTATTGACCTTTGTATGCATTAATCCTAGCATTTAACGAGATATTAACGAGCTGACTGCAAATAATTGTAATAGAAGGAACGATTACGTATTCATATATCAGTGATTTAATACAGGTTTTACACTCGAAATTAATGTTTTTGTAGATCATTGGTCATCCCTTTGAAAATCAAATTAACCCTTCTACAAGTTTGATTTATCCCTTTGCAAATCGAATTCACTTTTTAAATTAACCCTTACAAAGGTGATAAATGGCCGTGATTTATTCAATTTTTAAGTTTATTATAACTTTGTGTGCTTATTTATAAAATCATGCAATTTTCGTTACAAATAATTAATCTTCACATAAATTGTCTCGATAATTATTTACATAATGTCATTGAATTTAAAAATTTAATATCAATGTTATTAAAAATAATCATAAGTAAGCTAATTTATTTTGCAAAAGGGTGAATTTCATTAGCAGAAAGGCGAATAAGAGCTGCAAAATGGTTAATTTGGTTTGCAAAAAAGAGGAATGTTATTCATGAAAGGATTAATTTAGAGCAGTGCTCGAAACGCTTTGGAACGCAACATTGGGCACCGCCTCCTGCCTACCGCCGCAACGTCTCGATCCCCGTGTTACTTCCATCAGCTGTGAGCGGGACGCTGCGGCGGTAGTCAGGAATCGGAGCCCAATGTTGCGTTCCGAAGCGTTCCAAGTCCCATAAATATATAAAGACCCGAAGTCTGCATATATATACACAGTGTCCCAAAAATGTCTCGCAATCCCGAAATGGAGGGCTCCTGAGGTAATTTGAAGCAACTTTTTCCTTAGCGAAAATGTAATCCGCGGCTTTGTTTACGAGTTATTAGCGAAAAACGCCGACCAATGAGAGGCGAGCTCGGCGCTGGCGCGAGGCAGCCGAGCCAATGGGCGTAACTGAGTCTCGTGCGCTCGTTAGCTAGACCGCCTGGCGCCAGCCGAGCTTGCCTCTTATTGGTCAGTGTTTTTCGTTAATAACTCGTAAACAAAACCGCGGATCGCATTTTCGCTAAGGAAAAAGTTACTTCAAATGACCTCGGGAACCCCTCATTTCCGGATTGCGTGAAATTTTTGGGACATCCTGTAGAGTACAAAACCTGTACTTATCGAAAGTACACCTATTCGAATACGGTACGTTGTTATGTGTATTGCGAAATCAATACGGAATTAGGAATTATGGAATTAGGAATTATGGACTGTTCGGCTGCGGGACATTAAATTATTTTCAACACGCATACGTAGGAAGTCGCACGGAAGGGCCTTAATCTTAGATGGCATCATACAATGCACAGAAAAAGATGAGTTTTCGTACCAGGAGGCAATTGCTTTTCTACCATTATGCAGCCATCCAAATCCGAAAAGTGTAAGATCCCACATAGATCGTATTGCTTAAATTATAGTCTTTCGTACACGTGTAAATGTTAGTACAAGCTATTACAATTATTTTAAATATCACGACGTCTGAATCGTTATTTTGCTGTGCAATTTACAATCGTATGCAAAAGTCTAGATATGTCTTTCTTTCGGTTAACGATACATAGAAACAGAAGTGTTGAACATTTTGTGGCACTTGGTTGATCAGGTTCAAATTTCTATGAATAAATTCCAAACAGTGGCATAAAAATATCTATGAAAAGTATAATTACGTATATATATATATAAATGAATAAAATTGTTTATTTTCGTAATGACAATAATTCCTGACAAAAATGCTTAGGATCGCTTATAATTTTATTCATCAATATTTTTGAAGGTACTCCGTCTAGATACGTTACTTTTTCTGTAGACATATTTAATTTTTAGATAATAACATATAACAAAAAATATAACCAAGTAAAGATTATTGTCGTCATTATTAATATTATTACATTTATTGCGTTTCGATTTGCACCAATTACAATCTTAAGTATATAGTGATAATATTTCACTTATTTTTTCATAATTTTTGTGCTTCAAGTGAATTTGAATGTACTTCATAGATTTATGTATTATATAATCGAATTTTGATTGAAAAGTATATAAAATATAATTAACATAGATAAATTAAATGTAAGATATAGTAGAATGTAGAATCTAATCTAGCTTTGGGTACAGAATGTGTAAAATATAATAAACATAGTTAAACTGAATATGTTCAGTTATCCTATGGGATATATTAAAGTGTTGGCAATTATATTAAAAAAAAAGAACAGAAAATGTAACATAATTTATATTATTGTGAAATATAGTTTGTGATGAATGCACTTCTTTAGTTGTGATTCAATTAGGAAAGCAACGTTAATCGACGTCCACAAAATGTGCAGAATTTCTGTTTCTTCTAAACATGTGAAATTTTTTCCTCAAAAATGTACATAGACTTTTGTGTTTGATTGTATTCAGTCCAATAGTAAGAAATAATCGAAATCAAGCTTTAAAAGATATTATATTACGTTAAATGACTAGACTACGGACTTTCTACAATCCTACTATATTTGAACGTGTAAAGTGGAAATGGAAATGAGCGAACTAATGTTGAATATAATTACACACATTACAAGAATTTATATACTTTTGTACAGTTTATACGATCAAAGTCGAAACTTTCAAATTATGTAATTATTTTGTATTTTTATCCGTTTTCTGCATTTACTGATAGGTTTTAATCGTTGGGGGTGGCGATGGAGGGGTTGCCCGGGAGGTGGCGAAGCATCCTCAAGTAGAAAAAATAGTACAAGTCGAAATTGACGAGACGGTGCTAGAGGTTTCGAAAAAATACTTACCTGTGATGGGCGCCGGCCTTGAACACCCCAAAGTCACGCTTTTCGTGGGCGATGGCTTTGAGTTTTTGAAGCAGCGCAAACAAGAGTTCGACGTTATTATCACAGATAGCAGTGATCCCGTCGGTGAGTACATTCGCTTGATTGTAATCGATTAGCTTTGCATACACGAAATCGGCAAAAAGCTTTTTTTGAAAGTACGAATGAAAAATATAAAAATGAATACTTCGCAGTCAAAACTTGAATATAAAATATTTGAAATAATAAATCTGTTGCTTAGAAACATAATTCTCAAAATATTTCCAAAGTAAAAGTATAGTGCTTGTTTTTATTTAATAATCTTTGTTATGATTGGTCCAGTGTTATTTATTGCTAATGTAAATTTTTGTCTTTCTGAAAAAGTTCGATCGTTGAGTGTTATTTATTATTGATTTATTCTTCGGAACAAAAGTTGTAGTCCTCCCTTTTTAAAATAATCTCAACGTATTACTGGTTGGACATTATTTATTATTCCTTTCGTTTTAGAAACATTTATTCATCAATGTAAAAATTTTGGTGTTCGTTTTTCGGAACAATTTTTTCAATTTTCATTGATCGTA